ACCCCTGACCATTCCTGCCCGAAGTCAGCTCTTCCCACAATGCACCCAACGGATCACGCCACGGATTTGGTCGGGCTGTCGAGGGAATAGCACCTTCATCTTGCGATACTGTAGGGCCTCCAGGTTGTAAAGGAGGAACTTGTTGTTGTACGGTATCATCCCGAGCACCTAGTTGAGGATCACCCTGTGATACGCCAGAAAATAGTTCTCCAGGCCTTTCTTCCACGCGCAGCTCCGCTCTGGATCGCCTTGCTTGCTGTAAGCTCATTTGCAGACGCTGGTTCTCCGCTTCAGCTTGCTGCAACCTGTCCAGTAACGATCCTAGCTGCCGCTGCACCTCTGCTTGTATTGCTTCTGCTGGTATGCTGCTACTGCTTGGGGTATAGTAGTATAGTGATTACTAGGGTTTAAACCTCCTACCCTTCCGTCATCACCTCCACCTCCTTGTAGCAAGCCCGACGCAAGAGGAGCTCCGGCCGATATTGACTGCGGAATCGCGCCTCTTGGCGCCTGTTCCCCAACACTGCGGGGCCGTGGTGGTGATGGCATAGGACTCGGCAGCCATTGCACCGGAGGTGCCTTGAACATATCGCCAATCCTGTTTAACCAACTTGGCCACGCTGCTCCAGACGCAGGTCTCATACCAGCTTGCATGCTCTGTATCGTCCTTGTAGATCGCGGCGTATAATAAACGCCACCCACTTCTGCATCCACGTTCCCAGATGGGGCCCTTGGGGGCTCAGTTGCAGTCTGTCCATCAGCCGGAATCACTCCGCTTGAGTTAGCTTGGCTAACTATGTCTGCGCCAGTCTGTATCCTCTGACCTTCAACAGCTTCCGGGCCCACATCAGCACTCCCAGTCGGAACACTCGAATTGCTTTCTGTAGCCAGTTGGGCGGGCACCGGGCCAGACACCTCGACATTGCCCCCAGTACCTTTTTCGCTCTCAGCCACAGATCCATAACCATTCACCTGCGGTTGCGCAGATTCATCTTGCACCATATGGTCTTGTAGACCCATCGCAGCATCCTCCCTCGTACTCGTCGAAGGACCTGGATCGCCACCTTGTAGCGGAGTTACAGCACCAGCTTGGGCGCTCATAACCTGATGATAGGCAGCACCGCTCACAGGCAGACAAAGCTCAAGCCATGGGCGCACGCCTACGATTCCCTTTTCTTCACACTCATAACATGTTAGAGCTTCGGGCGGGGGTGTACAAAGGGCCTGAGCTCGCAGTTGCGTGTCTTCTGCCAAGAGTGGCAAGAACCTAAAGCTGGCTTCTGCCGAGAATGGCACTAGCCTTACGTCGTAGTCAACTTTACAGCTGGCTCAAGGGCATCTTCGTAGCCTTCCTGAGCCACAAAAACATGCGACAAAGCTCAGCAGCAAATGGCTTACCAGAGCCCTGAATTCCCCATTTCATCAATTAGGGTAACTATACTTATAACCCCAATTAAGGGACTTATAACCTTACTTACTACGTCCCATGATCTTCCAAGTAGGAGAACCCAAGACCCCCACACCTTAAAGCCTAAACTAGGGGCTGGTGCCTTCCAGAATGTGGATTCTGCTGACTTAAGGTTTGCAAGTCGGAAAAAGCTTCCCACAAAAGAAGCTAGGGGCTAGCAAACTGAAATTTGCAGAAAAATGCCTGTTGTCTTGGCGGCGGAGGCTGTTCCGCAGCCACACAGAAGACTCAGGAACTTACGTTTTTTTGGGCTGAGGGTTTCGATGCTCCAAGCCCCACGGTTCCCTAAACCCTAAACCCTACACCCTATTTATGTCTAACACCCTAATCCCTAAACCCTACAGCCTAAACTTTAAACCCTAAACCCCAAAGTTCCTATTTATATAAGTCTAAAGTCCGACACTCTTGAAACCCGAGAGCTTGCTACCTTCTGCGCCAGCCAGGGCATTGTATGTCTTCCTGTCAGCCCATTTTTCGGCCTCTTGGCGTCCAAGATCTTGCAGGTAACATCTGAAGCCCTAAATCCTAAATCCTAAACCCTAAACCCTAAACCCTAAGCCTTTTGCTAGGTTTCAGTGTTCAGGCTCGGAGCTCCTAAGCCCTAGCCTTTGAGCTCCCTTAGCGGGTTAGGGGCTTAGGGTTTAGGGGTTTAGGGTTTAGGGGTTTAGGGTTTAGGGTTTAGGGGTTGATTGTTGTGATTGGGCTTTCAGTGTCTTTGGTAGTTTCCACCTCAGACCTGCGAGCAAGTGTCTGAGTGTGAGTGCCGAAACCCTAAACCGTCTACGTGGGGTTTTGGGGGTTTGGGCTTTCGTGTTCAAGGCGCATTTGGGATTTTAGCTCCCAGCTTTCGGCCAGTGTGGGGTCTTGAGACGGGGTACCCAACCCTAAACCCACAGTAGTTGAAGATTTGCATTGCAAACTTTTATCTGACCTTGCCTGTGAGCATAGTTCTCTGCCATGCAAGAAATAAAAAAACCCCTAAACCCTACACCTAAACCCTAAACCCTAGCGCACAAATCGAGAAGTGTACCAAGAGTGTCAAAACCCTACCCTAATGTCCGAGTTGTGAGAGCGTAAACCCTAAACCCTAGACCCTAAACCCTGAAACCCTAAAGCCGTAAACCCTAAAACCCTAAACCCTAGACCCTAAACCCTAGACCCTAAACCCTAAAACCCTAAACCCTAGATAGACACCAAAACCCTTGAACCCTAAAACCCTAAACCCTGGATAGACCCCAAGACCCTTGAACCCTAAGACCCTAAACCCTAAAACCCTAAACCCTTGAACCCTAAGACCCTAAACCCTAGAAGGCTTTCCAGGCTCTTCTTGGAAGGCCCTAGAACTGGGGTAGGTCAAGGGCTCAGACTTCACCAAGGCGCTGCGAGTTGGAAGATGGGTTCAGGGTTTAGCATTTAGGGGTTTCAGGGTTTGGGGTTAAGGCTTTAGGGTTAAGGGTGAAGGGTTAAGGGTTTAGGGTTAAGGGTTTAGGGTTTTAGGGTGAAGGGTTAAGGGCTTAAGGTTTAGGGTTTAGGGGCATGCTCTCGATTCGAAGTTGAAGCCTGCCTCCAGGACTTGCTGCTTCCATCGGGCCGATTGTTTCATATTAATATCCCAGACCCCCGAAAGGATCTAAAAAATAGATCCCCTAAAGGGGTTCCTCTGAAGTACCCTTTAGTAGTTAGGGTCCCTAATTAGGGGATCTATTTTTTAGATCCTTTTGGGGGTCTGGGATGTCTTCTACGATGCCAAACCCTACGCCGCCCTAAGCCCTAAGCCCGACGCCATTGTCGCAGAAAAGGGTTGACAACAAAAAACCTTAGACGCAACTCTTATGGGTGGTTGTCAAAATTATGGTCCCTTTTTGGGTCCTTATTATAATGCGGCACCTATTATTTAGGGTACCCCAAAAGGGACCATAATGTTGACAACTACCTTTATACAGCCTATGAGCCAAAACCCCAAACCCTGTCATTGTTTCATGCCGACTGCCCTCGATGAACCTCGCCTGGATTGTCCGAGTTGTGAGAGTGTAAACCCTAAACCCCAAAACAGTCACCTCGAGGCGAACAAACGCCAGAGAGCATCCGAACGCGCTTTGCGCGCTTCTGCTTTGTCGGGGTCCCGGCCTAGGTGCCTGGCTCCTACCGCCAAGCAGGGAACAGCAAAATGCATAATTTTGCATGATGTTATGCGGTATTTAGATATTGCGCTTTGTTGTAACAGTGTCTTTTTCTGCACCTTCGCCATCCCAAGATCTACGCAGTGATGTTACATTGTGTTACACGTTGTCTATCGGGTTGTGTTTCGTGATGCATCGTTTCCGCTTCTACGGTCCATGCTGTTTTTAAGCGGCTAAATCGTATGGCTTTATAATGTATTATGTTGGGGTACTTTCTGTTCCATTACGTTGCTACAAATGTTCTGCTTCTGTGGCTGATGCTGCCGCAGACTTCGTTTGGTAGGGTGCTTGTTGTGGTGCTTGTGTTGGCGACCACCGGGGTGTTTCCCGTTACTGTCATGGCCATTACACCTAGACCTAGCTGTAAACAAGAAGTCCAAGCACACAAGTGGCAGAGTAGAAGGGGAGAGGGCTTATCGGACCAGGTGAGACTCTTCGGATTCTTTGTCCTGTCCAGCACCACTCTGGGTCCAGGGTCCAGGCTACGCTTGTACCCGTCCTCAAGTATGAAAACCACGAAAATTCCATTGTGCTCGCAAAGTGGGTTTCCAAAATTGCGCATTAGCCGATCAGCCGATCGGCTGATCGGCTGGTCGGCTGGTCATGGGTTCGCGGAAGGAATTGGTCCTGCAGCTCTGAAGCCTCTCAGCAGCTTGCGGAACTCTCGCAGATTGAGGCCTTAAGCCCTAGTTGTGACATGCATGAGCTCGAGACCTCATCTCAGTCGGAGTTGTGAAAGATGAAAGCCGTAAGCCCTAAACCGATTTGAGAGATATGTCAAGGCGAAGACGGACGCCACGCTCGAGGAGGCGAGTCGAAAAGAATCGCCCTTGCAAGTAAGACCCTTGCAAAACGACGGACACTACGGGGAGGTAAAAATTAGGGCCCTCAGTAAGGCAGCTTAAACGTACTTAGCACAGGACTTAAAAGGCATAGGATCTGTAATGTGAGGAGCCTGAAGCAGATCCTTACATGCAAGACGAGCAGCAACGTGCCCCGAAGCCTCAGCCGAGAAAGAGTCACCTTGCAAGCCCTTCTGATCCGCTGTAGTGTCTAGGGTTTAGGGTTTAGGGTGTTTAGGGTTTAGGGTTCCTGAAACCCTAAATTCGATGGCTCAAGGAACCTCTTGGAGGGGACCGATGCCCTCTGCCCGCACCGTACGCGGTTAGGGGTGTCAGGGCTTGTTCTAGCACCAGGGTTCGTGCTGTAGTAGCATAGTCAAACCAAGAGCAACAATAGAACTAATGAAAAACATATCGAAATCAGAAGCAGCAAAGTTTGATCTGCTAGGCAGCAGGACTACTGAAAGCCGAGAAGCAACCATTGGATCACTCAAACCGGCCCTTCCAGAGATGTTCGAGCGCTCCTTCACCGCTCCAGCTCGACCCGATGCCTTCCTTTCTGGAGGAGGTCGGCACTCAGGGGCTGAGTAGGTAACCTTTAACCTGTTGAGGCTTATAGGATCCTACTATAATTCCGGTTTAGGGTTTAGGGTTTAGGTTTAGGGTTTAGGGTTGAGGATTTAGTTCAAAAGGTTAACCATTTTTGGGCTACGGTACTCAGCCCCTAAGGACAAGACGAGCCTTGGAGCATGCTCGCCCATCTCAAGCCGCCTGCGCACCCTGATTTGGACCTCGACGGCGATGGCCTGCCGGAGGATGAGATCTTTCCGACAGGCCCAGAGAAGCCAGCTTCGCTGCAACGCCAGGAGAGCCTAGAGCCAGGTTCTACCTTCGAGGATGAGATGGACTTTCTATATAGTCTGTCTGTCACGACAGAGGAATCCGAGGCCGGTCACCGACTTTCAGTTGAGGAGATGAACCATTTCGACAATGGGTTTCCTGAGGTGCCAATGATGCGAAAGGTCACCTCAACCAGCTCATTCCGCAAGCATGCGGTTCGTGCCCGTCGTGAGCGAATTCGCGCCGAGCGGCGTGAGGAGGTCAGCGACTTCTTGAAGGGGAACAACTTCGCTGGTGTCAATGCGCCACGCTCTCGCTTGGGCTTCAGGTTCCTCTCGGAATCCGTATACCCACTCCACGTGGCAGCCCAGAAAGGAGATGCTAAGATGGTACAAGAGCTTCTTCGAGAAAGGGCGGATCCCGACAAGAGGAACTCGGCCGGGCAGACGGCCTTGGACATGGCACATGCAACTAGGTTCCCCAGTAGTACCCTTTTGCCCTTTTTCTTTTTAGGTTCTCCTATTAAAACCAAATAGTAGGAAAAAGGGTACCCTTATTATTAAGGAACCTAGGCAACGAATCAGTTTGGCTCGCATCGTATGGTGCTCGAGATTTTGTCCGGACGGTGGAACACCATGACTTTCCGTGACCTGAGAGCCATTTCAAGCCCCGGCATCTAGAATTTTGCAGATGTTTTCTTAGGGGCTGAGTAGGTAACCTTTAACCTTTTGGGCCCTATATAATCCTATTATACTTCAGGGTACTCAGCCCCTAAGTTTTGCTATTTAAGAGGTTCAGATTTTTCGGGCACATCTCCTGCACAGCGAGGGGACGGTCCATTGCTGCATCTCTCGGTTCTCCCCTTGTTCTGTTTCATTGCGCGGGTTCGCTCACCGGCAATACCGGACGAGCCACCGCATGATTCTCCACGAAGTGGCCATGTAGCACAGGGAGTGAATTCGAGATGCTGCATCTTATGATAGCACACGTATGGGTCAAGGATAGGCGCAGCAATGCAAATAGTTCTGATCCCCAGGCTCCTCCAGCACTCTTTGCATGCGCACCCGGGCCATACATAGGAACCTTCTTACACAACAAATATCGCACTCCGGGGATACTCTTGCATGGAGCCTGCGCGCAGCCAACTTTGCTGTTGGGCCTGCTTGTCGATGGTACAATCCGTGACAAGGATCGATCAGAACCCGTTTGAGCGCTCAGCAAGGAGTTTTTCTATGCTTTCCGATTTGTGATCAATCACTCAAGCCAGACGCTCTGCTGCCATGCTCCGGAATAAAGCCTAGGAAATAGACGCCTGAAATAAACGAGACTTGACGACCTGGCTTGGCCGAGAGCTACCGTGAAGACGAAGTTGGCATCCGGCTCCCTGCATCACCGGAACGAAGTAGAGCGGTAGACCCTACAACCTTACTTGGAGGATCATGGGAATAAGCAAGTACGGTTATAAGTCCCTTAATTGGGGTTATAAGTATAGTTACCCTAATTACCACCCTACTTACTAAGTCCCATGATCCTTTAAGTATAGTTGCGTTTTTATGCGCGTTGATCAAGAGGAGCCTGATGTAGCTCGTCCTCCTTGCAACATGTGGTGGGATGCTACATTGTTGCCTGCGCTGTTGAGCCGCTCAGTATGTGTATAGGACTTCTGCCATAATTCTCATACGAAGGGGAGGGTGACGACCAGCTTCAATTCAATGGCTATACGGCTCTGCAGAGTGCAGCATTTTTCTGTGTGCGTGCGAGACCCTTGGCTGCCCTAGCTCCTCCAGCGAGGCGATTTCTTCTGAGAGATATGGGTAGTTTTCAATTTTAGGGGCCTTTTTTGGGTCCCTAATATAGTACGGCACCCTTATAAACAGGACCCCACAAGGAACCCTAATTTAGAAAACTACCCATATGTTGCTCATGGCAGCCTCAGATTCGTTGGGCCGTTCAAGATGGAGGGAGCTAGCAGTTCAGAAAGGGTAAAGATGTCTTTAGTTGTCTGTCTGGTGCTTAGTAGGGAATGGGGGAATGGCTCCCTATGATAGTCCCTCAAGGTCCCTTATAGTAGTCCCTATAACCCATTCCCCCATTCCCTACGAAGCACCAGACAGTCTTTCTTTGTGTACAGTGTAGCTGTGTGCTTAGCTGGACAGTCCCAGCAAGTTTCCTCTTGGCATTTTTGAACATGAGGTCTGGCGGGCTTTGCCAGCGCCAGCCGCATTAGTGTCTTGTTGTTACATTGACTTCCCTAAACCCTAAACCCTAAACCCTAAACCCTAAACCCTTCTCCGGGACCCCCGGCTCTTGTGAAGCTCGGCTCAAGACTTGGTAGCCACGCAAAGCCTCCGCCGTGTCGGTACTTTTGCTGGGCGCTACAGTGCTCGCTGTCCAGTCTCAATGGTTGAGTTTCCTGTCTAGTCTATACAAGAAGAGCAGCAGAAGGAGCTGTTGTTCGAAGGCATGGGTCTGCGGATGGGCTAGGCCTATGCTTTATACTATTGCAGAGGCTGACACTGGGCATTGTTTTTTCCACCATGGGCTTTTCTTCAGACTTTTGTCATCCCTTCTCAGATGCCCGAGACGCGATCCAGTCTTCTTTCTCAGTTGGGTACTATTGGACTATTGCCCATGCAATACCTAGGTTCCCCAGTAGTACCCTTTTGCCCTTTGTCTTTCTAGGTTCCCCTAGTAAAACCAAATAGTAGGAAAAAGGGTACCCTTATTATAAAGGGGCTACTGAGGAACCTAGATACACACGTTCTCTCGGCATCTGAAGCTGGGCGGGTGAGTCGTTGCTACTGTCACCGATTTGGGACTTTCCGAAAATAGGGGGTACCTTACTTTGGGGTCCTTATAATAAGGATCCTATTATGTAGGGTACTATATTAGGGTCCCCTATTTTCGGAAACCCCCATTTTTCAACTTCTATGAGCCCAGTCGCCCAGTCGGGTGTGCAGTGCTCGCTGTAAAGCCTCAGTATTTGGTGACAAGTCTACGGCCTAGGCCTGTATCTGTTCAACTGCATGGGCCTGCAGATAGGCCTTATCGTATTGTCGAGGCCCACACTGAGCATTGTGCCAGCGTCCACGATCGTTCCCTCAACAAACAGGGAGCGATATCCTTCTCCAAGTTCTGTTTTCCACGTTGCAAGCATGTGCTCGCGCTCACCAGACTTTCCCAAGACTCAGTCGAAGTGAAACCAGAGAAGGTAAAAGCCCAGGGGACTACTTAAAACCTTCTGCCTATTCCTTAGCACGCGTCTCAACTGAAGAATCAAAAAGTATTTCAGATACTATTTCTCAGTCCTCACGATACGATCCGGTCTCTTAGATCCGATCTGCCTACACCCGATGTCGGAAGACGCTTCATGGGATGGCGTCTGGTCTCGAGCTTGAACTCTCAAAGGTCACATGCCATACAGAAAAGCTGATTGCTGAGTTGAGCTCGACGCCTGGAGTCCTAAGCAATTGACGTCTGAGTTTGCGGTTCTGCGGACTCATTCCACAAGCCCTACCGCCGAATTCCCATTAAGACCCGAGTTATGAACTCTACTCGCATCCTGCTGCATTCTGGGAGGAAGTGACCAGGGAGACGCTAGGCATAGCCTTTATCCTAACGTAAATCTTACTGGGTCTTCACTTCTAGTGGGAATGAAAGCTGTGAGTTTCACTAAGGGTCCGTCGGGCATTTGCTGTGTATCTAGGCGTCTGTAGTTTGTTGTGGCCTTGTGGGTTGTTTTCGGGGTGACGCGACCTGACACAGGGCTCGAAATGAGCCCCAGCAACCTCGCCTGCATTGCCCGAGTTGCGCGACAGGATTTAGGGTTCTCTCCGTTCTCATCCAAAACCCCCTCCCCTGTTCCCTGCGAGGCAGCGAAAAGGCTGCGGAGCCTCCGCGCCTAAGCAGGCTTTGGTGGTGTACCACTGATTGGCAGAGCCTAAACCCTAAACCCTAAACCCTCAGCCCAGACCCCCGGGAGGATCCAAAAAGTAGATCCCTTGATGGGGGTTCCTATAAAGAGCCCTTAGTAGTATGGGGGGGGGTCCCAAATTAGGGGTGCTACTTTCTAGATCCTTCCTGGGGTCTGGGAGTCCGTGCTGAAAGGGTGTTCAGGATTTGGGCCCGAGGGTGAGCAAGACCTCAACATGTCTTCGCCCCGCATCTTCAAGGGATCACTCGATGCGGCATAGGACTTGGTTGTGGGGGTGAGATTCTACGGCTGGTTTCTGTTGATTTGGAGTTGGTCTGCTCTTACGCTTAGCACCCTAAACCGTAAACCCTAAGCCCTTAACCCTAAACCCTTAACCGCAAAAAAAAACCCTAAGCCCTTGAGAGTAAACCCTAAACCCTAAACCCTAAACCCTAAACCCTAAACCCTAAACCCTAAACCCTAAACCCTAAACCCTAAACCTGCTGTTTTTGGTGCTTCTCCCTCAGGAGCCGCAGACTCGGAGAGGCCTCGAGGCCACCAGCCTTCAAGTCTAAGAGGCTCCGTTAGGGTTTAGGGTTTAGGGTTTAGGGTTTAGGGTTTAGTGTTCAGGGTTTAGGGTTTAGGGTTTAGGGTTCAGGGTTTAGGGTTTAGGGTTTAGGGTTTAGGGCCAATGAACTCCGAAAGTCCGACGGTTTCCAAAGCCCAAAACCTTGAAACCCGAAAGTAGTACACCCTTACTCCGAGGATCATGGGACTTAGTAAGTAAGGTTATAAGTCCCAAAATTGGGGTTATAAGTATAGTTACCCTAATTATAACCCTACTTACTAAGTCCCATGATCCTTTAAGTACTCCGCCCAGCACCTCGATCCCTGAGCCGAGATTCAGACTCGCTGGGTTTGTCAGATCTTCGTGCCGGTATTTGGCGGGTTTTGTAGATGGCTGACTGCACATGCACGGAGGAAGGAACGAAACGTGGAACAGGAATAACAATGTTCTTGAACTAGGCATTTGCCCTACTGCCGCTCTACCACTGCACTTCCATCTCCGCTGCGACGACGACGGGCACGCGGACGAGGACGAGGACGAGCCGGCCGGCAACGACGACGACGACGAGGACGAGAACTAACGAGAACGAGCGGAGGAGCAGGAGGAGCAGGAGGAGGTGGAGGACGAAGGCGGCAATGACATCGACGGCTGCCAGCTAGCTGCGAGAGGCACAGAGAGATGCTTGTCCGGATAGCTTACATCAAATTCCTAGCAAACGGCAATTCAGGTCTATGGCGCATTCAATAGCAAAGTCAGGGAGCGTGGACCGACAAGCGTTTGGCCTCCCGAGCCTCTAGGCCTTATGTCCTGAAAAGCCCCCCACCTTCAGACCAACACCTCGAGGCTTGGCTGAAGGTACCGTACAACAGGACCTAAACCCTAAACCCTAAACCCTAAACCCTAAACCCTAATCATGGTACAGTAACCTCCTGAACCCGGAGCCCAGCTTCACTTCAGGGCTGCTCCCTCACTCTTCGCGGCATCCACAAGTGCGGGCTGCGGAAAAAGACAGGGGGTGCATTCGATCGCATTGCCGTTCCGAACGTTCCGTGGCTTCGGGGTGTAGGCCTTTGTGGATTTATGGGGCTTGCATAATATGGGTGTTGCCGTTTCAGGGGTTTTGGGTCGGGCTTGGCCAGGAGTCTGCGGGAATACTATTGGTCGGTTGAAACCCAAAGTCCGCAGCGATACTTTCTGGA